AAAAAATTTCATAAGATTAAACAATGAAATCGACGGATGAAGGTGGTTTGCACGGTTTACACAAATGAGGAAAATTTTTATTTGATCACTCCTCTATATATATATATATATATAAGTACCTAAGTTGAAGTCCATTTGCAAGAGCATAGTTAGTCAAGCATGTCTTTAGTTCGGAAACAAAAGCATATCTTTCACCCAAGTAGGATTTCATTACGTTCCAAGGGATACTGGGATTATGTATAAGAAATTCCTTTGACTTTGTCCGGAGAACTTTCATGTTTCGAATCAACTTCTTTCCACGAATGCATCTCTATCATGCCCCTCACACGTCTCGGTGAAAAAATTGTCATGTTGATAAGCTTGTGTATGTATACATCCTCCACCACTTCCACACCATCATCTACGCCCATTGGAACATTTTCGTTTCCATCTTCAAAACCCTCCACATTTTTGTTCTTTTGTTTACTATTAAGGTTCATCGTCTTCAATCGGACTTTCCTAATTTCATCATCTTTGTGCGATAGATGAGCTAAACTAGCAACATCATCTTCATCGACATTGGAAAACTCATCATTAAACCAGTCTTCATTTAAATCTATTATACCTCCAACATCATCATCACTACTAAAAGCCCCTTCCTCATGTTCCCTACCATAGAAACAAAAGTGAGTTATGAAATTGAATTAAGGGGGTGTTTGAGATTGCTTATTTGAAACAACTTATGCATTTCTACAAAAAGTCTTTATCAACTTATTATAAATTAGAATGGTTTAATTTCTTCAAAAACTCCTTATTACCGGTTTGCCACCGATATAAGTTGTTTATCCAAACATTCAAAAATGTTTATTACCGATGTCATACCGAAATAAATCAATAAATTGTTTTTTTTAAACAATCCCAAACATCCCTAAATTGGGTGATTGCTTTGACAATTGAGTCCATGAAATACTGGAGAATCTAGTCACATTTAAAAAACAGGTCACCACTAAACAATATACGAAAAAGAAATGGGATTTGTATGGCTTATCCAGAACCAGAAATGCATAAAATTCTTGCAGGATTGTATCTGTTCAGATTCCTCCACGAAATACACGTTGCAAAAAGAAATGAGTCCCCCAATGTTGAAATAGATTGCTATATATTCTTTTTACAGAAAAGACAAGAAATAGTTTGAAACATAAAAGCCGTGTCGCATTTGCTGTCGTTTGTAGTTCTCTACACACAACCATATATATATATATATATATATATATATATATATATATATATATACACAGAGGAGTGATCAAATGAAAACCACCATCATTTGTAAAAATCGTACAAGCCACCCTCATACGTCGATTTCATTGTTTAATCTTATAAATTTTTTTCATGAAATTGTTTAATCTTGTGAAATTGTTTCATATAATACTTTTTTTGATGAATTTGTTTCATAGATGGTTATGAAATTGTTTCATATAATATTTAATGAAATTGTTTCATATAATATTTAATGAAATTGTTTCATGTATTTCT